TTTTTTTTATTCTTAGTTTTGCTGAAAATATTAATCATGATAGGTGTTGAATTTTATTTTTTCTCCAACTTTTGATATGATTATGTGGGGTTCTTTAATCTGTTAATGTGATGAATTTCATTAATTTTTCAAATGTGAATTGAAAATAAAAGCATAATTGTTATGTCTTTCTGGTGAATTGACCCTTTTATCATTATGAAGTATTCCTCTTTATCTTTCATAATACTCCTTCACATAAAGTCTGATTTATCCAATATTAATATAACTACTCTCACTTTCTTATGATTGGTGTTGTCATATTTGCTTCTTTTAATTCATAGGTGCCTCTCTCTTTTACTTTCCTTATGAATGTTTTGTAAGCAGCCCAGACTACTGGTCCTATAGAGTTTCCCATGGTCTAAATGTTGCTGATTACATTTTCATGGTGGTATTTAACATGTTTCTCTGTTCTCTGTCTGTAAATTAATAGTTAAATGTAGAGGACATTTGCAGTGTTAATCACAACATTTACTACTCTTTGTGTATAAAAGCTTCAGGTTGTTTAAGTAACCTGTTAGAAGTTAACCTGACCCCCAAAATGAAATTAATTTTCTTTTGGATGAAGAATTGACAGTTCATAATTAGCATGTCATGACTTGATTTTAAGTTATTTTTATTTTTATTAAACATGTTTTCTATTTTTTTAAGTTTGTTTATTTTATTATTGTAAGTTTATTTATTTTGAGAGAGAGAGCAGGGTAGGGGCAGAGAGAGAGGGAGTCACAGACTCGAAAGCAGGCTCTGCACTATCAGTGCTGAGTCTAATACGGAGCTCGATCCCATGAACCATGAGACCGTAACACCAGCTGAAATCAAGAGTCGGACACTTAACTGACTGAGCCACCCTGGCACCGCTAAGTTTATTTATTTATTTAAGTAATTTCTGCACCCAGCGTCGGGCTTGAACTCACAACCCCAAGATCAATAGTCACGTGCTCTTCCAACTGAGCCAGGCAGGCACCCCATTTCCTTTTTTTTTTTTGTAAATCTTTATTTGAGAGAGAGAGGGAGAGAAACAGAGAGAACGGGGGAGGGGCATAGAAAGAGAATACTAAACAGGCTCCTCGCTATCAGTACAGAGCTGACACAGAGTTCAGTCTCATGAACAGTGAGATCATGACCTGAGCCAAAATCAAGAATCATATGCTCAGCCATCTGAGCCACCCAGATGCCCCCTCCTTCTTTCTATTTTTATAAAGTATATTTTTTTCTGAAATACTGTATATTCTAATAACATTTTTTCCCTGAATATTAAGTCTGTCACAGATATCTTCAGTATTGGGCCTTTATTGTATGAGTAGTCATTTGTTAATAAATAGTGTCCTAGCTGTCTGTAAAAGTCAGGGGGCACCTGGGTGACTCAGTCAATTGAGCGTCTGACTTGAGCTCAGGTCATGATTTCGCTGTTCACGGGTTTGAGCCCCACATCGGGCTCTGTGATGATAGCTTGGAGCCTGGAGCCGGCCTTAGATTCTGTATCCCCTCATTCCTTATGCCTCTCTGGTGATCTCTCTCTCTCTCTCTCTCTCTCTCCCTCCCTCCCTCCCTCCCTCTCTCTCTCTCAAAAATAAATAAAAAGCATTTTAAAAAAATTGAAAAAGTCAGTCTGCTTGCATTTTATTTACTGGCAAAATTAAGGCACTTGGACTAAAAAAATGTCACTAATATTAATTGTCAGTGTTGTCTTGTTTATTTTTTGTTAATTTCTTTTTTCTTTATGAAAAGTATTGTCTTGCTCAGGGTTTTCAGCTTTTCGTTTTACTGTTTCGTTGATTCTTGAAAATTAAGTGATTACTGAGCTGATCATAGGAATTGGAATGATTTTATTTAGTTAAATAATAGGACACTTTGGCACCATACCTCCTGACATTCAGGTCTGATGAAGTAGAAATCTCTGGGAGTGTCTGGCTGGCTCAGTCGGAGGAGCTTAATGTAACTTGATCTCAGGGTCATGAGTTCGAGTTCCACATTGGATATAGAGATTATGCTTAAAAAAATAAAAACTTTTAAAAATAAAAGTAGAAATCTCTGTTAAGTGGCAGCCTTGGTGCACATTCTCATCAAGTGAATTTTAATTATGCTTTTTTCCCCTCCCTTTCTCATATCACAATATACTGGTTTTAAAATGCCCTTTGAAGTCACTTGCATGTTGATAGGCAAGTCCTAGATTTAATTTCAATGACTCTTTTCTTAGCAGGGAATGTCGTTATGTAAAATTGCTTTCTCAATAGTACAAACTAAATATTACCATCAGATTACTAATATTGAAGACATTGGACTTTTATAAAAGTCACTGCACTCCTCACGAAAGAAATTTTTTTATGTAAAAATTTTTTTAAGTTTATTTTGTGAGAGAGAGAAACAGAGCACACAAGTGGGGGAAGAGCAGAGAGAGAGGGAGAGAGAATCCCAAGCAGGCTCTGTGCTGTCAGCACAGAGCGCGATGTGGGGCTTGAACTTAAAACTGTGATACCATAACCTGAGCTGACGTCAAGAGCCAGATGCTTTACCAAGTGAGCCACCCAGGCATCCCTCATGAAAGAGATTAATATGACAGAGCGTATTTTGTTTTCTCTGTTGATCGAGACATTTATCTGTGTACAATAAACATTGCAGTGGCTTTTATAGGTGTCATTTTCTTCCTTACAGAAAATAATAGCAAGTCATTAAGACCAATGGGGTTTTTTGGTTTTTGTTTCAGTTGACATTTGCCAATAAGGTATTTCTAGAAAGGAGAAATAAGTTTATTAACAAGACCCTTTAGAACATGCAGCTTTTAAGAAAAATCTTTCCAAAAAATAATGGCAGATTATTTGTTTCAGGTACCGAACAGTACAGTGAATACACAGGCTATGCTGAAACGTATCGTTGGGCCCGAAGTCACGAAGATGGGAGTGAAAGGTGAGTTCATTTCTGACTTTAGTATCACTTGACCAAAAGCTAAGGATTGTGGGCTTGACCTAGTACATTCTGTCTCCTATCTACTCTTATTTCAGAAATGTAACTGCCTTTTTATGTTCGGTATTACAGGTTAATTAATAGTTAAAATAGCATTACCATTTCCATATACAAAAGGGAAGAACAGAGAAAAAAAAGCCAAAAGTCTAAGCCAAGAACAAGAAGGGCAGAACTCTTGTTCTTTTTTTTTTTTTTTTTTTTTTTTAATTTTGATGTTTATTTTATTTTTGAGAGAGAGCTCACAAGCAGGGGAGGGACCAGAGAGAGAGGGAGACACAGAATCCAAAGCAAGCTGCAGACTATGAGCTGTCAGTGCAAAGCCTGATGCGGGGCTTGAACCCACAAACCGTGAGATCATGACCTGAGCCGAAGTCCTATGCTTAACAGACTGAGACACCCAGGCACCCCAGGACTCTTGTTCTTTACCTCTCAGCTTCCAGGTTGTAAGCAGTCAGTGGAGGTTCACTTCCAAGGCCAAACTTATTTAGAATAAGTTCTTATTAGAGCTTAAAGCCTTTAACTGGCTTATTTAGTTATCCTGAATTTTTCTGTGAGATTAAGTAGGTGGGGAAACATGTTGAGAAAGCTTGCCTAATGCCACAGAACAGTTAACAGCAGTAAACTTTGCTGTTCCTGTCTCCTTATTTCTGACTGAAAAATATTTTTATACTTTGCCATTTTTGCTTCCTCACAAAATTGGTTTACCAGGGGTGAACTTTTATAGAAATGGTGCCTAGATAATATTCCATTGTGTATATATATACCACACCTTCTTTATCCATTCATCAGTTGATGGATATTTGGGCTCTTTCCATAATTTAGCTATTGTTGATAATGCTGCTGTAAACATTGGGGTGCATCTATCCCTTTGAATCAGTATTTTTATATCCTTTGGGTAAATACTCAATAGTGCAATTGCTGGATCATAGGATAAAGAAGATTTGACATATACACACACATTCATACCTACATACATCATTCATACATGCATACATATATACACACAATGGAATATTACTCAGCCATCAAAAAGAATGAAATCTTGCCATTTGCAACAACGCGGATGAACTAGAATGTGTAATCCTAAGTGAAATAAGTCAATCAGAGAAAGACAAATACCATATGATTTTATTCGTATGTGGAATTTAAGAAACAAAACAAATGAACATGGTGGGAGGGATGGGAGAGGCAAGCCAAGAAACAGACTCTTAACTATAGAGTACAAACTGAGGGTTACTGGAGGGGAAATGCGTGGGGGGATGGGTTAAATATGTGATGGGGATTAAGGAGGGCTGTTGTGATGAGCACTGGGTGATGTTTGTAACTAATGAATCACCTGAAACTAATATTATATTGTATATTAACTAACTGGAATTTAAATAAAAATTTCGAGAAAGGAAGAAAAAAGAAAGAAATGGTGCTTGAAAGTAAGTGTGTGTGTGTGTGTGTGTGTGTGTGTGTGTGTGTGTGTGTGTGTGAGTGTATGTATGAAAAAGAGCCATTGTTTCAGAATCAGCTGTTGCCCACCTACCCTTGCAAACTTATTCTTCGTAATATCTCAAATCCAACCCCTGGTCTCTCTCTCGTTGTTTTGATTAAAATATTTGGTTGCAACAATTATGTGGATGTTTAATTGCTGATAATTACTTACAGACTAACATGAAGGTTTCTGTTGCCATTCTTCAGCATGAAAAAGTTGCTTGGCATGTCAATTTATGTAAGTCTGTAAAGAGAATATTGGAATATTTGGAATTTCACGTTTCCAAAATCATCTCACCCAGTCCTTATTTCCACAGGCAATGTGTTACTGTCTGCTTTACTGTGTTTGTCTTTTTAAAAATAGTTTTGCACTGTCTGCAGTTGTGCACAGTACACATTTTTTGTAACATTTGACTTCTTGGGGTTATGTTTTGGATGATAGTGATACATGGCAATGTTATAAACCCAAGCCCCAAAGAGTAGGTCTTTGAAAGCCAAAGAGAAATGAGCTTTTTGACCTTTTTTTTTTTTTTCTTTTTTTGGCGTTAGTCAAGATACAAATGATGTCTCGTTAGTCTTAGAGGAAAACCAATAGCTAAGTTCCTTTTGTGTGGCCCCTAAATCCTCTAACTTCTGAGACTCACTGTAAATGATGTACCTGTTTACAATAGGTCATGTTTGTCATCTCTTGATAATTTTTCAGGTTACCGTTTAATGCCTAACAGTCTATAATGTGAATGTCTTGAAATCTAAGAATAAAATGGTGTTTTCTGCCCTCCTGTTTTGCTGAGACCTATGGCTACTGGTTTGTTGGTTTATTTTTAATATTTTAACCCTGCCAAATTCTCAGAAACCCGGCCTCACAAGGGTTATATCTTGTGAGTGTCTTTCCTTAGTCATCTTGCCCCTTTCATCCTGCCCCAGGGACGCCTGGCAGCGGCGTGGCACCGAAATCGTCGCCATTGATGCCCTTCACTTCAGACGCTACCTCGACCAGTTTGTGCCTGAGAAAATCAGACGCGAGCTTAACAAGGCCAGTAACCTCATTTCTTAGTTCATCTGGCAACTGTCATCTATTTACTGCCATTTTATTAATGCTGAAATTAATGCTTTCTGGTAATTCTTGCAGTGTCAGTATGTCTGCCCACAGCTCTCCTGATTTAATGGGTCTGTCAGCTTGTACAAGATGTACTTTCCATTTCGTAATTGCTTGATTACTGATGCCAGATAGACTGTTGCTTGATATTGAGCCCCACACATGCATTTAGCTCATCAAGTACTTTTACTTGCTTTGGAACATTATTATTTTAAAACCATATAGAAGTGAATGAGTGCTAAAAATTTTTTTCACACCTTTCAATGATGTCTCTGCAAAGGTATGCTGTTAGGATTGATGCAGATAAGCCTTAAAGTTAAGTTTTATTTTAGGTAAGATTCACTTGTAAACTGTTTATTGATTACATAATTTGGCATATTTATGATAGAATCTGTGATTTTCTCTGATGTTCAGTGCTGTCTACTACAATCATTTGTCTAATTGTATTACAGAAATATGAAAATGAGCCATACGTATTATTCAGATTTTCACTTCTGTTAACCATATAAATAAACTCTTATCATACAGTAGAGTACTGATTCTATTCTCTAGATTTAGGGCTTTACCAAAATAATTGATAATTTTAGATCCTCAAATTAACAGCCAAGGAAACTGACCCAATTCTGAAAACCATTGTTTAACTCACATTGTTATGAGATTGTTTGTTAAGATAATGAGATCTGTGGTTTTGCATGGCTACACATTGCCAGTCCCTACATAGACTTTTGATTATGACAGCAGACTGAGTGTACCATTGCAAGGGGATTGAGAGTGCCCCGGGACTGGCACTTCTGGCATTAAGTATATCCTCGTCACAGTTTCTGCCTGGTCTTACCACAGAAATGGCCTCTCTTGGTACTCTGCTTATCCTAGCTCAAACACCTTGCCCTTCTTATAGTTAGTAAAGTAAACAACCAAATAATCCACAGCGGCTTTTACTACTCTTACAAATTGGTATATATTTTGAGTGTAAATACATTTATTATCTTGTGTTCTGATCTACTTGAGAGTCTAATTGTTGAATGTTTTCTCATACATAATCTATTAGGTTATTTTAATGTTTACAGTTCTCAACAGGATCTCTTAAAAATTTTGAAGAGTAGGGGCGACTGGGTGGCCCAGTTCATTAAGTGCCGAATTCTTGGTTTCACTCAGGTCATGATCTCATGGTTTGTGGGACCGAGCCCCCAAGTCTGGCTCTGCACTAGCAGTGCAGGGCCTGCTTGGGATTTTCTGTCTCTCCCTCTCTCTTTGTCCTCCCCTTCTTGCTCCCGTTAGCGCATGTGTTCTCTCTTTCTCTCTCTCTCTCTCTCTCTCTCTCTCTCTCTCAAATAAATAAACTTAAAAAAATGTTTAAATTTTTTTTTGAAGAGTAAGTAAATGCACTATCTTCCAAAGTTAAACTTAGGTAACTGATAAACACGTGTATATATTTTTTCTTTTTTTAAAGTAATTTCTCAGAAAACCTATGCAGAAAGACTGTTGTTTGGTATATCAGCAGGTATAATTTCTCTCCTTTACCTGATTCTGAAAGTCAGAGATTCTAGAACAAAATATCTTTTATTATGTTCGGCACATTTTAAATGTAAGCCTTTCACTATTCCAAATTCCTGTTTCCAAATACATGATATTTTTATTATATAGCATATCAAGTAGAATGAGATTTATCTTTAGATTTTCATCAGATATTCCTTCCTTATTAAACACATATGAATTTGTCAGATGGTCATGGTCACTGATAATAGAAGACATTTATGTAAGCAGTAGGTAGTTTGGAAAAGAAATATGTGTAAAGGGAATGTGTTTAACCATAATCATACATTAACAAAAATTTAAAGGATAAAAATTTATATTCTTATGGATAAAAATTTATATTCTCACAAATACTTTTCTGTTGGAGCTAGATTGTTCACATTTAGAAATTATCTGCAAATATAGTTTTAAAAAATAACCCTGGGCATAAATAAATCTTTTTTAATTACCCATGGCCAATTGGTATTCTCTACATTTACTTATTTATATAGCACTAACCTTTTTGCCTCTCCTCAAAGACAGCAGAAAGTTAAAGATATGAAACCTTGGTGTATGTGAATAGGTTAAGTTAGATATAAGTATTTGTAGAATGTAGAGTCCTTAGGAAACTCACTTCATACAAAAAGAATGAGCCTTTAACCTGGCAACAGAAGACGTTTTATTTGACTCAAATCAGTCAGTCCCAAGCGCACTGCCTTGCTTATGAGAACTTCTCAAAAATATTTGTTAAATGCATTAGTTGGTGAGTCATTAAACTTCTTAGAAATTACTAACACAGTTTTTTAAGATAAACTTTTTAGATATAATTACATTATCTTAAATCACTGAAAATGTTACAAATTTATAGATATTTCCTAAATATTCTTCACGTGCCAGATAAAGCCTCTAAGTCTACTTTCCATTCAAGTATGGAATAGATGAAATCATATGAAGCAGATGGATTGATAGTATGTAGTTCTCTGTTTCAACCTGCCATTGTTCATATCAGTATGCAAGTAAGTCTAATTTATAGTTCATAAAAGGTTCTTTGCGGTCAAATAGTGGTGGAAAAAATTTTTAATTATACAAATAGCAATAGTGAAAATAATAGCTAACATTAAATGATTGCATATGACATGCTAGGCACTCTACTTAGCACTTTAAATTTGATGTCTGATTTAATCCTAACCACCCAGGGAAGTGTAGATACTCTTCTTGTCTCCAGTTTACAGATCATAAACGGAGCCTCAAGAAGTTGAATAACTTGCCTCACGTCACACAGCTGGGCAGTGATGAAGTCAGGACTTGAATCCAGGTTCCCCTGACTTCAAACCACTTTTTAAAAATGTAACTCCTTTCACATAGATATTACTATAACTAGGTCTCTTTCCAGACTTTTTACCTATTTCCATCTTAAATCACTGAGAATATTCTCTGCATTTCATTAACAATCTCCTGCAAGCATATATGTCCTTGGTTACCTCTTTCTTCTCTTAAAATCACAATCCTAAACAGCGAGCAAGCTTCTAGTTGATTGCTTTTCTCCGTATCCTTTATTGTTTGATATACTTTTTAAAGGAACTTTGAAGGCTTTCCCCCCACCAGCCTATTTATTAAATTCTCTAAGACAAGAAAATAGCACAGGTGTAGAGTAAGCTCATTAGCACATGGGCTAACATTGAACAAGCACCTAGTTCAGGGCCTGGCACACAGGAAGGCACTTGATAAATATATGTTCTTTCATTCACTGCTGTATTCCAAAACATTTTCTCTTTTAGCCAAGATTGAGTTTTCTTTCTTTCTTTTTAAGTTTACTTATTTATTTTGAGAGAAAGAGATCTGTGCGCACACAGTGGGGGAGGGGCAGAGAGAGAGAGGGAGAATCCCAGGCAGGCTCCACACTGTCAGTGCAGAGCCCAAAGCTGGGCTCGAATTCACAAAACTGTGAGATCATGACCTAAGCCAAAATCGAGAGTCAGACACTTAACTGACTGAGCCACCCAGGTGCCCCTGAGAATTAGTTTTCTAATTCTTTCACTGGAAAAAAAGAAAGCAGTAAATGATTTTGTTAAATGTCATTGGCAAGTTAGAGAACTAATTCAAATAGCTTTGGGTCTTCTAAATAAAAGCATTCCATCATTTATTGGTTACATTTACCTATTAAAATAGAGTTACGAATTTTAGTATGGCGGCAGAGTTTTACATAAACTGACAACACAACTTGGAGAGAATATTAAGTGATTTATACCTTGCTGTGTTTGATAAACTTGGGTTTAAAGCAGAAGAGTCTGTATTAAATTACTCTAAAGGTGACTTGTACAGTTCAACTTTTTTTCATGCCAGAGAGAAAGTGGGCAGGAACAGAAAACTCATTTTATCTAGGAAGCAACAGAGCGTAAGACCAGTTTTCACCATCAGAATTCAATGTGGATCTCTGAATTCTGTGGGCTCTTTTGCTACTTTTAGGCATTAGTCATCAGGTCAAACTGAAAGGGCAATCCCACAAAGTGCTTTATTCCCTTTGGAAACAGTTTGCTCCGTCTAGGCTCCACCTGTCCTATTGGACCTACGTCGTGACCTGCAAGCAGAGTTGGTTTTTAAAAGGAAGAGTCTGTTGTCTTTTATTTAACTGATACTGTGAAGCAGTGTTTAATTCTGTGAGGGATCAGCTGGGTGACACTGTAGAGGAAAATTATCTTTGTAGTTGGAAGGATTTATGACTCTAGCTTGCAAAAGTGGCATATAGCTCAGCAAGGGAAGAAAGAAATCATCTGTGAAAAGTTGTATTTAGCCATGTTAGACTCATTCAAGTAATATTAAGTAATGAATACATTTCGTAGAGGTTTCTGGATCAGAAATTGAACGAAGCAAACAGACCCAGGAAATCACCACCATTTACCCTTTTTAAAATCATTTTGTTTATGGATTTTTTTGTTATTACCCATCAACAAATTTGGAAAGAGGTTGTTATTAAACCAGAGCTTAATTAACAAAACCATTCAATACTGGCTGCTGGTATTTCTTTTTTTTTTTTTTTTAATGTTTATTTATTTTTGAGAGAGAAAGAGAGAAGTAAGTGGAAGAGGGGCAAGGAGAGAGAGGGAAACAGAGAGTCCGTTGAAGGCTCCACGCTGTCAGCGCAAAACCAGACATGAGGCTTGAATCCATGAACCCTGAGATCATAACCTGAGCTGAAGTTGGTCACAACCCACTGAGCCACGTAGGTGCCCCTAGATGCTGGTATTTCTAAGTTCAACATCTGGGGTAGCCTAGATAGCCCAGTTGAGAGAGTGTTAAACTGGAGGAGGAGTTCAACATCTGATCATTAATATTTTCTTAAGTACAGTTGACTCTTGAACAACTCAGAAATTGGGGGTGCCAATCCTCTGTATAGCTGAAAATCTACATATAACTTTTGACTCCCCCAAAACTTAACTATTAATAGCCTACTATTGACTGGAAGCCTTACTGACAGCATAAGGAGTTAATTAACACGTAGATTGTATGTTTTATGTATTATATACTGTATTCTTAAAATAAAATAAGCTAGAGAAAAAATGTTATTTAGAAAATCATAAGGAAGAGAAAAATACATTTGCAATACTTTAGTGTACTTATCAAAAAAATCTGCATGTAAGTGGACCATGCAATTCAAACCCACCTTGTCCAAGGGTCAGTTGTATGTGTCACTTTACTTTTCAGAAATATTAGCCCCAAATGTGTCATTTTTAGTGAGTTTTTTCTTAAATCTCTTAATATAAAGAATCAGAGTAATCATAGATAACCTAATCCAATCTTTGATTTCACACATAAGGAAACTAAGGTCTGCATAATTCTTTCATTTTATTTAGTCTATCTAGTAATGTTACAATTAACATTTATTTATTTATTTTGAGAGAGAGAATGCATGCTTGTGCACAAGTCGGGGAGGGACAGAGAGAGAGAGAAAGAGAGAGAGAGAGAGAAAATACCAGGCAGGCTCTGTGCTGTCAGTGCAGAGCCCAACACAGGGGCCTCTATCTGTTGACCTGAGCCAGGATCAAGCTACCCAGGTTCCCCCAATTATTTTGTGGAGAAAAAAGTCATTCGTGATCCTACCTTTCAAATAGTTGTTTTCATTTTTGTACGTCCTTCCACATGAATAGTTTCATAAAAATGTATTCAAAAGTTGCCTATAACTTTGTATTTTACCTATTCAACTATATATTGTAAATATTTTTCGCATTTTCTAATATCATCATAATAATTTGTTTAATGGCCATAAAACTGGTTGGATTGGTGTACTACAATTGAGCTACTATTTTTGAATAACTTGGTAGTCCCAAGTTTTTCTCATTACACATAATGTAGTAATAAACCTCTTTGTTATTTAATCAAATAACAAAAGAAATTTACAAAAGATGAAAATTTTGCAAAATCGTTATTACTTAATCTAAGGATAATTTTTTTTAAAAATAGGCTCCATGCCCAACGTGGGGTTTGAACTCACAACCCTGAGATCAAGAGTCTCATGCTGTACTGACTGAGCCAGCCAGACACCCCCCTAAGGACAATTTTAAGACTCTTGATTAATAATATTTTATTTTCTTCCACAACATTCTTAAGGATCTTTTTATATTATGTTTGTTTTTAAGACACAATATTATAAGACCTCAGAAAATCAGCAGTGGTACCAACTGTGTATTAATTTAAGTTAGACTAGTGGTAGATTGTCTCCAAATAAGTGACTCTTTGGGAATAATAATTGTAAATTATTACTCTAGCTAACAGTATAATCTATTTCCATTATAATGAAAGACATAGTTTAATTTTATCTACTGATAGATAGATAGATAGATAGATAGATAGATAGATAGATAAATGAGCCTGCTAAACTTGATGTTGAAGCCTGAGCTCTGTGCTCATGCATGTGTGTGCATGGATTTTTGTGACTATTCCCTTGAGTACCATCTATTTCCCAGGTCCAGTTCTGGGCCTGTAGGTTTTTACAACTGTTTTCTTGGTTTTATTTTTCACTTTCTTTGCTTCCATCCTATATCTCTGTATTTATCTCATCACTTTCTGGGTGGGCTCTAGTTTTTACCTCTAGGTACCAGTATTTTCTTCCTGCCTCTTGCTTTTCTCAAAGCTCCCCATTGTATCCTTCAGGATACTAGAATTACCTTTGTCTTCCTTCTCTTCTTCCCTTCCCATCAAAACTCATTCTGAGATGAGTGTTCTTTGGTATTCTCTACTTATTGTCCTAAGGTATGAATGCTTCCTCTTTTTCCCTTTAAAGTTGTTTATTAATAAAAAATAAATAGCTGTCATTAGTGATTATGGTCAGGATGTGACTATAGAGTTTGAGCTGGCTTTCTTTTTATTCTTACTGCTCTGATAAATTGCCTCAAGTTCTCTGGCGGTGAGTGTTGGGGGGGGGAGGGATGTATTTGTTGCCAGCATGGAGCTCTTGAGAACTCCTAGTACCTTTCCCTCTGAAGTAAGAACTTGGCAACTCCACTCTTTTGAGGTCTCTATCCTTATCTGATCTTTATTTGTTACTGTAGGGGCTCATTACTGCTGTAAAAGGAAATGATTCCGTGATTAGTGACCCTGCTCTGGTCTCTAGCATTTGAGGGATATTTCTCCTTACTGCAGAAGGGAGAAGTATGGGTTGTTCCTCTAAAGGAGACTTAGAAGAGCTTGCTGCTTCTCTCTTATGTCTGACCTTGGAAATACTTGGTTTAAACAGAATAAAAGAATTTTGCATTTAATCACTATAAATAGTTATTCTTTTTTTAAGTTTTTAACGTTTATTTTTAAAAGTTTTTCTTAATGTTTATTTTTGAGAGAGAGAGAGAGAGAGAGAGAGAGAGAGAGAGAGAGAGAGAGTGTGTGTGTGTGTGTGTGTGTGAGAGCAGGGGCGGGGCAGAGAGAGAGGGAGACACAGAATCTTAAGCAGGCTCCAGGCTCTGAACTGTCAGTGCAGAGCCTGATGCTGGGCTCCAACTCACAAAAGGTGAGATCAGGACCTGAGCTGAAGTCACACACTTAACCGACTGAGCCACCCAAGCACCCTAATGTTTATTTTTGAGAGACAGAGACAGAGCATGAACAGGGGAGATGCAGAGAGAGAGGGAGACACAGAATCCAAAGCAGGCTCCAGACTCTGCAGTGTCAGTGTAGAGCCCTACACAGGGCTTGAACCCATGAACCACAAGATCATGACCTGAGCTAAAGTCGACGCTCAACCAACTAGTTGAGCCACCCACGCACCTCATATAGTTACTCTTTGTACCTAATTACTCTGAATTGTTTTATATCTTTTAATTTCTGATTAACTTCTTAAAGTATTATTTGGTTTGTTTTGCTTAAAACACGAAATGCCAGTTAATTTCAGTTTTATAGTTTGTTTTTGTTATGGCCATTTTTCAAGATAGTTGTGGAGTTTTGGGGTTTTTTTTTAGCACAATTGGTTAGCACTTTACATTAGACTATTCTTCTAATAATATAAATATTTCAAATTCTCTGTTGTTAGGCTCTGGTTTCACCAAGGTATGTTTGCTCATTAAAGAGGAGTCAGCCCAGATATGTAGAGATGGCAATACGAAGAGACTAAAGCCATTCTGACAGTGTAAAAGAGAGGCGGCACTAACAGGAGGCTAAGAAACCATCATCTTCATTCATGTAGGCCTGTTGAGGAGAGTTTGACAGGGAAGCAAGCGGCAAAGTTATGTGTATTCTGACAGAGTCTTTTCTCCCCCTTTGGCATAAAGGCAGAGACTCTGTCTTTTAAGAACCTGCAAAAAACCCCAAACAAACCTGAGCTCTTGATATTTTTGATCTGAAAGAGATTTTCAGAAGCTCCGTGCATCTGATTATACAGGTAATTTGTGAGTTCTAGTGTAAGCTCTGTACCACAGCATTGAATAATGGTCTGGTACCAACTTATAATTAATATCTGTCAGGATTTACAGCCTAGGAGGGGGTGGAAGGAATAGCCTTGTTAATCTATCCAGACAGTGTGTAAAATAAATTTTTATACCTTTGTGGAAACTTCAGAGAGCAATTTACTATATTTCTATGTGTGGGTTTCATGGAAGCATCTTTCTTTATCCTTGGTTTTTCTCTAGGAACATTTGTCACAGATCATTCTTTTTATTTTATTTACTATTATACATAAGCTATATTTTAGGCTTTGTTTGCTACTTTAGAGAACCCAGGGGAGATTTGCTTTGCTATTACATTAAACCTCTTAATATAGTCTGATAGTTTCAGAAAACTGAGAAAGACCAACTAGGCTGGCAGCAAAGAAATGGAAATCTACAACTTTGGGGCTTAAACTGCAGTCTTCTCATGTACAAAATTAAATGTTCCTCTAAGTAAGACTTAGGCAGTGTCCTCAGGATAGATCATACTTTTCTCAAAGTGACTAGCGAATGTTAAAATATTCTAGCTTAAGGGGGGGCGCCTGGGTGGCGCAGTCGGTTAAGCGTCCGACTTCAGCCAGGTCACGATCTCGCGGTCCGTGAGTTCGAGCCCCGCGTCAGGCTCTGGCCTGATGGCTCAGAGCCTGGAGCCTGTTTCCGATTCTGTGTCTCCCTCTCTCTCTGCCCCTCCCCCATTCATGCTCTGTCTCTCTCTGTCCCAAAAATAAATAAAAACGTTGAAAAAAAAAATTAAAAAAAAAAAAATATTCTAGCTTAAAGCAGAGCTGAAACCAGAGAATCTTGGAGCTAGAGGGGACCTTAAAGATTATTTTATAACCAGGTATAGGAATCCCATACACAGTTACTAGTCTTTAAGTCCCAGTAATTGAGAGAGCAAGTGTTAAGGAAGCACAGTGGTGATAACTCTTTACCTTAATGGAAAAAATGGTGTTCAGAAGCCTTCAAATAAAGCTATATGTTAAGTGTCTTTCCTCCCTTCAGATCCTGGTAGTTTGTAATTGGAATCCCATCAGTTCTTGAAATACCTTTGATATTTTCATTTATATTTGTTTGAATCAGACAAAGAAACTGAGACTTGTCTGTATTGGTTTAAGGGCTTTGGCCCAGCATGAAAACAAATAAATACTAGAATTGATCATTTCTTACTCTCTTCTATAATCCCAGGATTTTCTTGTTTTCCCTCTAGTTTGGCCCCTAAAAAAAAAAAAAAGAAAAGAAAAAGAAAAAATAGAGCATAAGCTTGGTAATAGCCACTGATCTTAGTACATCAGTCAGAAATACTGTTAGTGTCTAGTCACTCACACACTGTGATGTTTCTTTCATCCTGCAGGCTTACTGTGGATTTCTCCGTCCTGGAGTTTCTTCAGAGAATCTTTCTGCAGTAGCCACAGGAAACTGGGGCTGTGGTGCCTTTGGCGGTGATGCTAGATTAAAAGGTAAGTAAATAAGTTGTTGTAAGAATGATAAGCATTTTGACTACAGAGAAAAAGTCCTTCAAACTTGGATTTCTAATGTTCTGTTTTATACAATAAGAGACCACAAAGATTGAAGAGAAAAACAGTATTTGACACCATCCTCTTTTTCCTTATTGTGTTTAAAGGAATACTTATTTTTATTTGCTATTTCCCTGTAAAGATCTCTTTAGTCTACCAGACCAGTATTTAGTTGAATAGAGGGATGGAAGAGTCCAGAATGACTATGAAGTTTCAAACCAAAGTACCCGTTAAGCACTTTCCTTCACAGAAGTGATTTTGATAGAGCAATTTCGTTGACTCACTCATTCACCAAACTTGTGAGGCATCTGCTATGTTGTAGGCACTGTGGTAGACTCTGAGAATGCAAAGGTGAATAAAATGTAGTCCCTGCTTTGGAATTCACAATTTGGCATATGAGAGAGAAGCATAGAAAATGCAATATAGTAGTGAATGCTTTAGTAGAGGTGCACATATGTGGGAGTACAGCTTGGGAGAGCTGCATGAAGAACATAGATAAGGAGCCACTTGGGTACCCAAGAAGGATAAACATTTCTTACATTTTATTGTTTATGGTAGAAAAATCACAAAATCTGATCAAAGCTACTGGCCATTTACCAAATTATGACATTTACTTTACTCTCAAAAGTATCAGTCGTAGAAAATCGTATTGTATCATTACTTAAGAAGGATACTGTTCTGTGTCAACCCAACTGGTCTGTCGTCAACTAGGTGTGCTGCAATACAATCCTGGCATGAACTACCTGGAGTTAGTGCAAATTCCACAGGTTAAGGGCAAAGTCCTCCATAAGACCACCTCTACTTCAGACTCTAGCTGCAAGTCTGGGGGCAGGGTGTCCCCAGGCCACCTACATCTCTGACCAACTGGCTACCAATCTAGGAGGTTCCCACAAGCTCCTTCAGATTTGATAATTTACTAGAATGACTCATAGAGCTCAGGAAGGTGCTACTACATTTTATTATAAAGGATACACATAGGGTGAGATCTGTGAGGGAATACAGAGCTTCCATGCCTTCTCGCTGTGGTGTCAGGGCACATCTCTCTCCTCATACATCAGTGTGTTCGCCAACGAGAAGCTCCGCTGACCTTTGATGTCCAAAGTGTTTTTGCTTGTTTGTTTTTTAAGTAGGCTGCACACCTCAGCATGGGGCTTGAACTCATGACCCTGGCATCCCGATGTCCAAAGTTTTTATTGGGGCCTCATTATATAGGTATTGTTGATTAAATCATTGGCCCCATTATTGAACTCACTTTCAACTCTCCTTCCATTTGCTGGAAGTCAGTGGCTGAAAATCCCAATCCTGTAGCTATGTAGGGGCTCACCCAGAGTCCTCCTTAGCATAACAAAGACATGCAGGAAATTCCGAGGTTTTTGAAAATCTTTGTTATACTACAGTTAATAAAGTAATAAAATAAAACAGAAAACAGCCAACTGGCCTTGATAGCCAAACTAGATATAGATAAAAATCTACCTCGCTGGGAATAAAATAGTTGAGTCTGTCATTATTTATGAGTATGTTATTTTTGTAAAAATGTCACATTTATTATTTTTTTAATCCAGAAAAATATTATGAAGTGTGTAAAAATCATCAGAGTTCATTGTTAACGTTTTTGGCGATGATCTTTTCAGATATTCCTATTAACAATCTGTGTAACCATTTGACATTAATAACATAACACCAGTCTATGCTCTGACCTCTTCTTTTTGAAAACCATACAAATGTAAATGTACTGTCAACATTTTTAATAGCTATATAGTATTCTGTTGTATGTATTTCTACTTACCATAATTTATTTCACTGGTTCTCCCTTTATAGACAGTTGGTTTATTTTCTTAATCTTATAAGCAATACTGCAGTATATAATTACATATGTTATATATGATTATTTTCTTAGGATTAATTCCTAGAAGTGAGATTAATAACCCAAAGGCATATATACTTTATATTTTGATACTTGTTGCAAGTTATCCTTCTGAAAGGTTATATCAATTTCTATTGTCTTCCCTGCATAAGAATCCTCACTAACAAGGGATTTTTGTCAATTTTCAACGTTTATTTATTTTTGGGACAGAGAGAGATAGAGCATGAACGGGGGAGGGGCAGAGAGAGAGGGAGACACAGAATCGGAAACAGGCTCCAGGCTCTGAGCCATCAGCCCAGAGCCTGACGCGGGGCTCGAACTCACGGACGCGAGATCGTGACCTGGCTGAAGTCGGACGCTCAACCGACTGCGCCACCCAGGCGCCCCTCAATTTTAAAAATTTCTCTGAGGTTCAACAGTTTTTATATGTTTATTGGCCATTTTTATTTGCTTTGTGAATTGTTTTTTTCACTCTTCTGCCCATTTAGCTGTTTGGAAATAGTTTTGACTTTTCAATGGATAGTAATAACTCTTTGTATATTAGGAAATATTGGGGCATCTGGCTGGTTCAGTCAGAAGAGCATGGGACTCTTGATCCTTGGGGTCATGAGTTCGAGCCCCATGTTGGGTGTAGAGATTACTTAAAAATAAAATTAAAAAAAAAAAAGAAATATCATTAATTGTTATATTATGTTGCAGGTATTTTTTCATTTATTTCAGCCTGTTGGGTTGTTGTCACATGGACTTAATTTTTATGTGTTTACATATTTGCGGCATGCTTAGAGAAATCTTTTCCTTCATTCTAAAGGCTTTCACCCACATTTTTTTCATAATCAGAAACAAAACCTGCATGTTATTATTTTCAGTGTTTTGAAAATCTATAGAAGAAAGAATTTTTAGGTTTTATGAAATTATTTATCATCCTCAATTTGAGGAAACCTGTTTTTCATTCTGGGCTTATTGATCTTATGGCAGACGATTTTGCTGTTTTTCTGTGAAGTAAAATGAATGAGTAGATTCGTATCATCAATCCAAAAAACCAGGTCTGCCATAAGCTTTGGTCATTTGTGAAGGACAATTTGAGAAGCTTTATAAATGTCTTCCTTTCCTTTCTTTTCTTTGTGGCATAAAAATATTTTTCTCCGATTACAGTTTTGTTTCCTCTTGGTGAGTACCAAGCATAGTATTCAAAGAGTTTCATTATTGGGGCACCTGGGTGGCGCAGTCGGTTAAGCGTCCAACTTCAACCAGGTCACGATCTCGCGGTCCGTGAGTTCGAGCCCCACGTCAGGCTCTGGGCTGATGGCCCAGAGCCTGGAGCCTGTTTCTGATTCTGTGTCTCCCTCTCTCTCTGCCCCTCCCCCGTTCATGCTCTGTCTCTCTCTGTCCCAAAAATAAATAAACGTTGAAAAAAAAAAATTAAAAAAAAAAAAAAAAGTTTCATTATATAGTTCATTTTCCCCATTATTGAGATTTAAACTTAACAGTGACCTTTTGACAATTCCCTCTCCTTCATTCACTTGAATAATCATAAAAATTAGAAGTAGTTATTTATCCTTTAGTGGGGAATTGTTTACTGAAACTGATTTTGAAAAGAAAGATACTGTGATACATCTATGTAATGAAATATTATGTAAACATTGGAACTATTGCAGAAATACAACTGCCGACATGGAAGTATGTTTTTAGAATACTGCCGAATGGGGGAAATACATAGTATATGTATTATAAACAATTCTGAAAATCAAATGATAAATATAAAATATTACAAATTTGAGATTCTCTGTGTTCATCTGTTTATGTGCAAAGATTAGCTATGGTTGTCTCTAGGTGAGTGATATAGATTTTTTTTTTAATTTGTACTTTTCTGTTTTAAGCTTATATTGTTTCTGTAACAAAAAGTCTTAGTAAAAAATTCTCTGACGACATGGATAGACCTTGAAGGCATTTTTATGTTAAGTGAAATAAGTGAGAGAGAAAAAGGCAAATAGTGTATATCTCACTTTTATGTGGAATATTAAAAACAAAAACAAAACACCTAGCTCATAGATACAGAGAACAGATTGGTGGTTTCCAGAGGTGGGGTATGGGGGTGGGTGAAATGGGTGAAAGGGATTAGAATGTACAAACATCCAGTTATAAAATGAATAAATCATGGGTATATAATGTATAACATTGTGACTATAATTAGTAATAACTGTATTGCATATTGGAAAATTGCTTAAAGAGTAGATGTTGAAAGTTCTCATCACAAGTAAGAATAATCTTGTAACTGTGTGGTGATGGGTGTTAACCATACTTATTGTGATAATCATTTCTTAATATGTACAAATACCAAATCATCATAGTGTATATTTGAAAACTTACATAATTTTATATGGCAGTTATATCTCAGTTAAGAAAAACAGCCATCAAGACATTATAAACTCCTCTTTTATAAGCTCACTTTCTCATCAGTCACATAGTAGACATGGGCAAAGCGGGCATTTAAATCCTAGATGAATCTCCAAAAGAAGAGAGTACCAATAAAGAGATGTTTGCTAATGACCTGGTATTAGGGAGGTAGAGCAGGTGCATAGAAAGGAATCAAGAAGCTATGGTCCACTTGAGAGTATTGAGAGATGATACAAGGTTGGAAAAGTTGGAAAGCTAAAACCCTTTGAGAGCAGATAAAGACACAGCCAATATTAACTTTTTCTTGACTGGCCATCTTTATCTGTCCCTAGGTCTTAACAAACCTTTCAGGAAGACTCTTTGAGCCATCAGATGCTTATCCCTACCTTAATAGAGAAAGAAGGAAGGAAGGATAGTTTTTAAAAAAACCATGGAGAGCAAACATGGGCATATGCAGATCCTTAAACTTCTATTTCTTTTATTAGCAATAAGACTAAATATTTGTTAATATGCTTTCTGCCTAACTATACAGGAGGATTGCAATTTACACCAATTTGATTTTGAACTGTTTTCATTATACATTCTGCTGACAACTGTTAAGATAATATTTTTCATATATTCATTCATTCAACAGACATTTACTAACAACTTTCTGCCCCAAAGCAGCCCATGTCCCTAGAACTAG